CTGGGATGCACCAGGATTTTGTAGACTTCATACTACTCACATTAAGACATACGCTTTTGGCTCTCGAGAGCGTACATGGGGCTGTCGGAAAGCATAAGTACAAAAACGGAGTCCGTGGCAGATTCAGTCCGACTCGACCTTCCACATTTCACCATCGGTGCAGTGTTCAGGTAAAACTGGAGGTTTTCAGGCCTGATACTAGTGAGAACGATGTGGATCTGACGCTTCTGTCTGAGTAATAGCTGAAGACGGTTATATCATTATTTAGACGCGCCATCTACCTTCAGAATGCACATTTAAGATCCAAAGTGCGGTAGGCACTAGAGATAATTCAAAGAGAAATAGGGGTGTTTGGAGAGTTTCGTGCCTGTGCATATTTGTAGCCATTTCATCTTCAGGAAGCAATAATGAACCTTGTTGTATGCAACTGCTTCTAGGGAGAAGCAAAACACTCCAAACTTTCCACTTCGAGTGGCAGATTAGCATCTGTAGAGGATACACCATCGTCTATAGAAAATCATTTTAATTCCAAAGAACAGTAGTGAACTGCTGTTGGGCCAGTTTGCTTGATAGCAAGCTTCTAGCAATTCCTAAAAAACTATCTCTGAGCGCCAATTCCAGTGCTGCTGACTAGTTCAGGAAACTATACGCTGGTGAAGCCAATTACCGCACATCAAACATCTACAACCCATCGATGCCGCGCATATATGAAAAGACAAAATCAGAAGCGATTTACCGTCGACAGTAATTGCCTTCATCGCGGTCTGCATAAGTAATTGGCACATACGAAACAAAGTAGGATCAGTGACTTTTCTAATAATCTATCTCATGGCGGTTGGGAATCCTTATGCGCATAATATTAAGGCTCTAACTGGAACCAACTATTTCGAAATTTGTACATTCTCTGCGTGGCCAATGAAGTGCGATATCACTCCGTGCACAAAACCCCAGACAAACTCGATAAAGTTTTCAGGTATCAAGATTTTTACCCAAAAATGGAGATGGGAGTTCTAACCAGGGCCCAATGCAGTAACGGACTACATTATTTGCTTGAAATCTCATCTAAGCAATTGATGCTTCTGACGCAGTTGTGTGTAAGAATGATTTAGGAGGATCTATTGGCAACGAAGGCTTGGTACTCAGCATCGGGTTAGGAAAGCCGGCTGTGTGGTGGTTAAACCAGAGTTGGCAGTGTGATCGGGTTTTAGAATTTTCGACAGACCGTTCCTCATGTAGGTAAGGCCGATCTGTGCTCAAAAGCCTAAATGCACAGCACAGTGGCTTCATCTTTATTGGTAATGAACAGCAGGTTGCAGCTCACGAAAATTCGGTAGGAAAGTTAGAACAAGCGAGCTTCCGGTTAGTAATTTGAGCGCGTATCCTTTTGTCCACAAGCTGATCAGCGGCGTGATAAATTGTCAATTAGGCAGAACAAAGCGCCACTCATTATCAGCCACGGAAACCACATCAGCTGGTCAGGTATTGACCAGCTCCTCAAGTGATGACCTCTCAGATTGGAGTCCTACTCATCGTGTATATTTATCCTTCCTCTGAGCTTGTAGTTTGCTGCTTGACTGGCTCATTGAGTGACATCTTGGGAGATATAGCTCAGAGGATAAATAAATTCACACGACGGGTGAAACGTTCAGCCGAGAAGACCACGTATGTGACCGCGTGTTGTGAATTCACTGGCTGAAGATGAATGTCGCTATATCCCACCTAAATACGTGTTAACTATAATTCCGATCAGCCGCCGTAGGCGGACGACTAAGTCGAGAAGCTGTAGACTCGAAAATGAGTTTCGTCAGCTGCGCACTGCTGATGATTCCCAAAAAGAATGGAACAAATTTACAGTTATTCTTGGTTTTTCAGATTAGATTGGCTTCGCTTACCGGGCTAATTCTACATTAAACTAGTGGAGCGAAGAAGAACTTTCAGCAGCTTTCCGAATAGTGTATTCCGTCTATACAGGGATGTGCTTTCTAATTTAGCAACATAGAACTTTGATTTCTAACTGCTTTTGACAACAGTATCCACAAATGTTTCGCTTCACTCTCTATGCTTTCTGATTCACATCACAGGCCTGTACCTCTATTGGTTGTGCAGTTTTGCCTGGTCCAAACTCCAGCAGGAAAACACAATTGATATGGGACTACTCGCTCTATGTCCAAATCCATGTTCCATTCGTCGTGGGGTCTGTTCTCGCGTGCCAGACAGTCTTCCTGCCCTTCACAGCAATCCAGTAATGTATGCGATAAGTGAAAGCAACTGCATTCGTTTGGGGACGGATTTGTTGAAAGACAGTTTTGAATGTCTTTGTAAACCAGTGAGCTCTAATCGGGTGTTGGCATACGTTCCTCATTGATTTTGACATGTCTCTAAATTCATTTGGGAAATTTTGATGACAGTTATGCCGCTTTTGTCTAATATTTTAATCAGCTAATTCAGATGCGTCCAACGTGCGTTGGTGGAGTAGTGGTTACACGCTCGCCTCGCATGTCAGATGTCCGGGGTTCAAATCCCGGCACGGCCATTGGATATGCACTGCTGATGAGCTCTAATAAGAGTTTTGATGACAGTTATGCCGCTTTTGTCTAATATTTTAATCAGCTAATTCAGATGCGTCCAACGTGCGTTGGTGGAGTAGTGGTTACACGCTCGCCTCGCATGTCAGATGTCCGGGGTTCAAATCCCGGCACGGCCATTGGATATGCACTGCTGCTGAGCTCTAATAAGAGTGAAACTCGAGTCCAGTGCTTACCTTTGGTGCTTACCTTTGGTGTGGAATCACCGGAATAATTACGCCAGAACAGGAACACGGGCGTTCAAACGAGAGTGGTGTGGCTATGAACAAATATTTTAATCACCGTACCGCCCACTCCCATAACTAACCCTGTGGCGATATAGGTTTCTAAGCAGATGTGAAAGGTGTATATTCGGCCCATTCAGAGGAGGGAATTCACATTTGGCGGATTTGTTTTTTTTCTGAGGTATGTTTCATTCTTGCAAATGAATTCATGTTTACGGAAAAAATTAACTCGGGATAGTTCAAATTTTGCTGGTGGGTCGGTTAGTACGATGCCGACCAGGTAATGGCTGAAAGTTCAAAAATGCAACTTTCGGTGTGATAGACAGATGTCACAACGCAGGATCTTATGTTTTTAGTCACTCAACTAGCAACCCCCATATTATTAGTACCATTGTGATCCAGCGGCCGTTCTTTACCCCGGTAACAGGGCTACAAATGGAGTCGAGAGAACAAACAGTGCAATAAGATAGATTTATGTGCGGAAGATACAAATCTGTATAATCTTGGATTGCTGTCAGAAGAAGAACGGTTATGTTCCTCCGTTGGGACGCTTCGCTGCGTTGCCTTACATTCCCAACCTCTGAAGCGACCGTACACTTACGAATTGGAAGAGCAGTACTCAAGAGACTTACAACTGGTTTCCAACCACCACTGTGTGTGCCGCCCCGGGTACATGGGATATCGATGTCACCGACTTCGTGACGCATGTATCGAGGTCAGTTTAGTGGTGCGTATGTCTGTTCAGCTTGTGGGCTTGATATGAATGGATGCTCTCGTGTATTCAAATCACATGTGTTCAGGTGTTTGGTGAACTATCGTAAGTTGTTCCAAACATAAGTACCCGTCTACAAGTATTCACTAAAAGAATCCGAATGCGCTTATCCATTTACATCACACAAATGAATCACGAATACCAAATGTACAAGCAAAATTTACAAGCACAAAAGAAAGTACGATATGTTCATGCGAAAACTTCGGGGTTCAGAAGACATCACTGAATCTGTCATATTATTTGAGTGCAAACATTACCAACTTTCGACGGAAGCAACACCTCCTTCAAGCTGACAAGCCTATCGAGACCTGGCAAATAAAGTGCACAGTTTCGTTGCGAAGTATGCCGTTATGTTTCACGTTTGTTACAGGGAACTGTTTTGAGAGTTCAACTGAACAATTGCCCTAATTAGTTTCTACTTAGCAAATCATGCAGTCGTTCCTGAAAACATGTCAGCCATTAAGACTCAAAACTTTCGACCTGGAAACTTGGTTTCGAACTGACAAGGCCGTAGACTAGAGAAGTGCCACAGAAGTACAAAATTATTTAGAGCCCCTGAAAACTCGGTTGTAAAAACGTGAACTTTAGTCACCGTGACAGTGTTTTTGAAAATGTTTGCTAAGATGAGGAGGATGTCTTCAACTTCGTTTTCAGGGCCACTATTCCTAAAAGTAACAGTGTCGACTTGAATATACATAAACTAACAAGCTCTCGTACACTAGGAAGTATGGTTGCAATTCTGCCGTAGCATAATCCGACGGCTAAAAAAGTATTTCTTATGAGTCATCAGCCTTGCAAGTAAACATTTCACTGTTTCAAAGGCCACCAAGGGGGCGAATAATTGCGCAACAATCGATTATGCAGTAGCCCAAAGGCCAACGGACACTTGAATCGCTAAAATGACACCGATGAACCACCTCCGATGGAGATGATGAAATCGAATTTAACGTTCACCAATTTGGACAAAATTTTGCCAACTGCAATAAAGGAGTCCATGAGAATTCGCCTTATTCTGTTACTTCTCCATCTGGGTTGGCCGAGTGAACTGTCGCTTACCTTATTACATACAACTACAAAATCATCAAATATTGTTTTCAAACGGAGTTACTGAATGTAGACAGCTTCTGCGGCTTTCTACTGAACTGCCAAGTGTATCCCTATTCCTTTTGATGAACCCTTTGAAAACAATTCGAAAACAATTCGTTGATGCTGGAAATTTTCCATGAGCTAACTCAGTTCATCTCGTCACCAGTAAAGATGATATCATTGGTGCATCATTGAGTGCCGGAGCGGTGACTCAAAAATTTATGGCACCGGAGCGTTACTCGCCGGCGAAATAACTTCTACTTTTTACGCACAGAATTTGCGTAACATCTAATTACTATTTCCTTATTCAGAGCGAGACTGTCGGACACCCACCTGGCAACAGCGCTTGTCGAACATTTTTGGGTAATAAATGCATATCGGTGGTGGGAACCAATCGGTATCACTGCGAATGCGTGAGTCGATCCAAGCAGAATGGATCATTGCCATTTGCAAACTGTTATCTGCAAAAAACTATATGTGACGAGGTTAGTGTCGTTGTATTTTTTCTAGGGTTTTTAACTTTTTCTGACGATCTTCAACTGTCGTGGGAACAACACGGTATCAGTCGCCTAGCTAGACAGAGATTACCCCTAAAGATAGTCAGTGTTGTGATTAGAATGAGAGATACACTGATATGATGATTGTCATTAGTTACAATTTCACGACAAACTGGACGTTCAGTTTTCAATAAACTACCCAGAAAGTAGTAGCGAGCATCATGTTTCCCAAATTTTAGAAATTTCAAAGAAGTTGGTTCTAGTGAATTTGCGGTTTCTGGATTCCAGTTTTTTGTAGAATAATTTGTCTTCAAGTATCCGTTTGTCTGCGTGGCTTCATGTAGCAACTACGGAATTGGAACTTGACAAATCATACGAAACTTATTGCGGGGTGTACTTTAAATGGACAACGTAAGTGTGTTTGCAGCATATGTCGGCCAGATAGAGCAAAGTCATGCGAGAGAAAAATGAGGAAAAACCCGATTCCTTCAGAGTGGAGCACACACTTGGTGTAACATTACCAAAGTCTACCTGACATTCGAAACAGAGTAAACATTCGTGAAATAATTCGATGTGAACTCCAAGTTTACATTTGTATTATTTTCAATATTTATAGTGTACCTTTTATATACCCCTGTGAAACCGACACCATGTGTAGACGTGTAGTAGGTTGCACTTTGAATGCAAATTTTAATCAATATCTATATGGATCAGTCTCTTATCATAGTACTACTCCAACCGTATCAACCCATACCACGTGATACATTAAAAAGATATAATAAAGCATCACAAAGTTTCAATGACCGTCCCAACACAGCTTATCAAATTCTTCCCTTGAGCATCGCCTTCTAACAGTTTTGCACGACCTTATCTCGTTATGTCTTCAATGCGACTAACAAATAGTCTATTCAGGCAGGTCTTTTAAAATCTCTTTAGAACCGTGTGAGTTGAACTCACGTGCATTCTAATCCAAGTGATGATGAGCTGAAGTCACGTCCTTCATGAAGAATAATGTAGATCAGCTGATTGAAACTAAAATTGATCGTTTCAGATAATCTGTCGCAATCGGGGAAGCTGCGTACATTCACCAGACAATAGCGCTTTCAAATGCATTTGCACGTTTGGCTGGTATGGTGACTTCTGTGAACTTCGTGATGTTCGCGTTTGGTAAGTATAAACTCCCTCTGGATAAAAAGTTGTTTGGTTCACAATGACGTTTTTGCAAGTGCCTCGATTGTCCTGGAACATGTGGAGTTTTGGAATACCTCACGTTGTGCTGGAAAGGCTTTTCTCAGGCATTTCTGTTCATAGTTAGTCCTTACTATACTTGGTAGTTGAACCAACGGTGTGGGAACACAGAAAAACAACTAAGTCAAGAGTGACGCCACATAGTCAAGTCTATAGTCAGGTGTTTTATGGCTACCGCAGAGTGGAAAGGTAAAGCGTCATATTCAACAAAAGACGTTGCATCGTTCTGGCTAGGGAATACCTGGAAGTGAATAAGTAATGACCTAACCGGTAGTGAAATCTCAGTAGACGAAGGCTGGATGGTGATGAGACAAGGACAACCCTTTTTGCGGATTTTGGTTGGACAAGTCCGCAAGTGCGAAATGAAAGTGGGCATCAAAATGTCACGCGCTATTATTGTTTAGATAACTTGTTCGAGTTTATCTCAGAGGACAGTATTTTAACTGGATTGAGATCGAAAGTTACTTCCTCTATATTCCAGCCAGACTAAACGTTTGATACAATGACAGTCCTTCAGCTTTATTCGCACCGAAGTTGGTGTACTCGAGCTTACACATGATTTAATAACCGTGTATTCCGGGGAACCTCAATGGAAGCTACAGGCGTGAATAACACGTGTCAAGAACAGCGCATTTTTTTATTCAGTTCCTGTTTTTTACAGCCCACCGGCGAATATGGATATTTTCAGCACATCACTATGTTAAAACTACGCATATCCCCGGTGTCCTACGCCTTTATAAGGCTGGGACTGGTAACATTCAAAACGAGCATATTACCCCGTATCATCGACACCACCATTTCATAAAAAAGTGATGAGTCCACCCGAATAAAACGAGGGCAGAAGCGGTCACCAAGGTAGACTTCGGTCACCACGACCACATGTTCAAAGTAATTTTAATAATAACCTTGACCTATACTCCCACTTTTCATCTAACCTTTCTCCATCGATAACAGATGTTTTTTTAGTTCTCTTAAGCTGGTTATCAGATTTTATGGTATATGTCATGGCAGAAGAAAGGAAAGATATTGGTTGTGTGAATTTGCATTTGTGTTGGTATTGGTGGTCTTCCATGGGTCATTTGAAGGCTTTGGCTTCAGGTGCGCAGAAAGTAGCAGCCGTTTTTCCGTGTGAAGCTTATTCCAAATCAAGAAATTCCTAGTTAAATATATACAGCATAGAAATTATAAATACTGACATTTATCTGACTCTGGTTTTTGTTGATTACGTATTTGACTCATTTATCACTTATGACCGTAACCTATACTTACATTTGTTATCGTCAGTCACGTTCCAAGAACTGCAAACCTGATGGGTAATTTTAGAGATGTCCTCCGCGTTATGCATTACCAGGTCAGCATGGCGCTCTTGGAGCGTGTGCTCTTCCACAATATGTGCTGGGCCAGGCTGGCAGAGGCGTGAGCGAAACTGTCGGATTCCGGTAAATAAATCCACTGGTTTGGGTGAATGTCGGGGTCACCAATTTGAGCTGCGTCCTTGCGATATTGGGTAAGTTGATTGGTCAAAATCCCATCTGCCAGATATCTCTTATTCAGTCAAAAAAAGAGTTGTTAGAGCTGTAGATATTGCAGATAAACTGAACGCATGAGGAGCTACGGAAGCTGCACTTTTGTGGGAGGCACTCAAAATCACTGAAAGCAAAACTGGTGCAGAAAATAGTGGCACCAATTTTCTGAGGTTAGTGTTGAATTTACTTGGTTCTTCAGGATGATTCCGTGCACTGAACTTCCGGAAAGAAAAAACGCCCTATTTAGGCAATTTAAAGGTTTGATTTGGGGCGAATTTTGATGCAGTAATACAGCAATATCTGCCCAACTTAGATTATGAAGCCTTTTCCTGAAAGGCTCAGAACTGGAAGTCGGGATATTTACTTGTGTAAAACGCCTTCATATATGTGATGCCGATGGCCCTTGACAATACCGAAACACTGGGTACAACTCCAGCTGGACAAATCTCGCAAATCTTCTTTGGGCGCAAATGTAAACGATATTCACAAGCTACTCTGCATGAAAGATATCTGTCATGAATTGACGAGTAACATAGTATGGCATGATGCCCTAGAAATCCCTGGTTTTATTGATTGCTAAAAACCAGATTGCGAGTTCTGTACTAGAGGTGCATTCAGAAACCTCTTATTTAAAGTAAACAGACTATTGATTGTATACCCAAACAAATACGATAAAAATGATCGTCACATTTTTATTCGTTGTTTGCGGATAGGAATATTTGCTTTAGTTTTAAGTAACAGATGTAACAGAGCCAGTTTGTTCGAAATTGACTGCGATTCCAGCTGTCCAAATGACCGATTTCTAATGACGCATGAAGAAACATTAGCAAGATGATGCTTCACACACCATGTTTGACCTGTGAAATATCAACGCCTAATTTTCTGCTGCTGATCCGCTTGGTCCTTTCAAAAGTGAGCCCCAGTAATCGTGCTGTGTGTGCACCTGGCCGAAAGTAGCTGCCTCAACTGTGTTGAAGCAACTTGGATAGATGATACTTGGATGTAGGCGGTTACATCTTCCGGCCATGACACGGATTTACAGATTTCTACCAATCTGGCCGGATACTGCATTGACGAAAATCCCATTCATATAGGAAAATTAGAACGGACGTTTTCACACAACAGAGGATTAGCACAGGCGTGCACAAATTTCTCGCTAATAAATTGTGAGAGTTAAGTTTCGTACGTATATCGGTCTCCGATGAAAGAGAGATCATCCAAATCGAGAATTGTGACCATTCGTTTGCCATTTGATGAAAGCACTATTCTTGTTGCGGGTCGTAAAATAATACCCTTGAAAAATGTTACATCAGCCGTTTTGGCACAGTCAAGACTTGTACGCAACGAACGGGGTTTAAATAGAAGCGCGGGACTCTTCCCAGTAACGGAATGGACGGCGTTCCTGTATTGCATTAGAAAATTATCAATCCCACGGTCCAATGCCACAAAAGTAGTGGGAGAGAGTGAAATAATAGCAGATTTAAGTATTCGGACAAAATTTTCAGCAAGTCCATTCGACTGGGGATGTCGCGGAGCAGTAAACAGATGTCGACAACCAAGACCCTTCAACCATTCCTCGAGGAATTTTGCAGTGAAGTGTGTGCCGTTGTCAGTGACCAAAACAGTTGGTACACCTTCGTGGCTGAATACTTTCCTCAAGGCTTGCTGAGTGAATTCGGCACTTGGAGAAGTAGTTAGAAAAACTTCAGGCCAACGGAAATATGCGTCAATAAGAATTAAAGCATAGTATTTACCAAGAAAAGGACCACAGTAGTCAGCATGAACTCGTTGAAATGCTTCACAAGTAACTGGCCACGGATGCCACTGTGAAGACTTGTTATGAATCTTATGTGCACACTTAACACAATTCTTAGCAGTATGCTTGATATCAGCATCCAGTTCCGGCCACCAGCATGACAAGCGTGCAACGGATTTCATTTTATCGACACCCAGATGACCAGAGTGTAAATCTGCAAGAACAGCCGCTCGCGGAGTCGGTGGAATGACAACTCTATCCTCAAAACACAGCAAACCACCCGGAGTAACGGACAAGCTTTCGCGGCGACAGTAAAAAGCAGGAAATCGGCGTCGTTCTAGCTGCGTCCAGCCACGTCGCAATGCAGAGAAAATGGGAGCGAAATATCCTTTAGTGTCAGCAACAAGCACATCCCGCTTGACTGGTAATGGTTGAATCAGTAGACAATCTGAGTTGTTTGAATCAGAGTCACATGATAGAATTCTTGACAAGAAATCGACATGAGGAATCATTTTCGCACTACGATGAACTACTGTGTAGGTGTAAGAACTCAATGCAATAATCCACCGTTGCACCATAGCGGCAGATGACTTCGCCAGAGACTTCGTTGGATGATACAAGAACTTCAAAGCCTCATGATCAGTAGCAATGGTAAAGTTCAATCCAAAAACATATTTATGAAGCCGTTTGATAGCCCAATATACAGCAAGTGCTTCTCGTTGAGTCTGAGAATATCCACGTTCGGCTTTTGAAAGTCGACGGGAAATGCAGATCACTGGTCTACCACACTGTTCAAGGATTGCTCCTATTCCAGTGGGAGAAGCATCAGTAATGATCGTCGAATGATGTTTGGCGGAAAATGGCTTCAAAACAGCTGAAGTCTGAAGATAACCAAGCAGTGCACGCAACGCCTTCTCATGGTTGGAAGACCAAGAAAATTGACTGGAAGATATGATATCAAACAGACAACTTGCGTGTTTGGCGAAATTAGGAATGAAACGAGAGTAACACTGAAGTGCTCCTAGAACTGAACGCAGTTCTTGTAGATTGGTCGGTGATGGCGCATTTACTAAAGGGGATAGACGTCTTGTATCAGGTTTAAAACCGCTGCCACCCACAATGTAGCCAAGGCATGAAAACGATGGGACACCAAAAGTGCATTTGTCAGGATGATTAGCTACATTGAACTCAGAAAATCGCTTCGATAAAGACAACAACAGACGCACATCATAGGTAGCTTTGTCAGCAGCGTGCACAATGACGTCATCTTGGTACGTCTCAACACCCTCCAAATCTTTTGCAATAGTATTCATAACTTGCTGAAATACAGCTGGTGAAACGTTCAGACCAAAGGGAAGAAAATTGTATCGGAATAACCCAAAGGGTGTGTTGATCACGGTAAGGTTACTGGAGGCTTCGTCCAGTGGTATTTGAAGATAAGCATCTTTTAAATCGATTTTTGAAAACACACTTGAACCTGATAAACGATACAATACATCTTCTGGCTCTTCCGTGGTGCATGTACGTTGTAGTAGCCGCGTACTTAGCGTCAGCCGGTGGTCACCACAAATTCTCGGAGTAATACCATCAGCCTTCAGTGGGGTAACGATCGGAGTTTCCCAATTTGATGACTCGACAGGAGTCAGTATTCTTTCGCACACATTGAACTTAATGCTTGACGAACAGGCTCGCGTAAACCAAATGGAATAATCCGTCTCTTAAGAAATATAGGCTCTCCTGTAACTTCGAGCCTCATCTTGGGAATTTGCATGCCACCTGTGGCCTTAGAACATTTAAGAATCAGTTGCTTGAGTTCATTCTCATTCGCAGAAGTCAGTAAGGTGATACTGGTTCGCAGTAAGCGTAGAACTTTGAGTCCGACGATCGATGGTCCCGACGTTGATACCAAAAAATTACAATCGATACAGGTACCTTGTAGTAACCTCACAGGGATCGTGCAACTACCAACGAGAGGTACAGAATGTCCAGTGATACCGCGAATGTTAATATCTGTAGGCACTATCACGGCACTGGGGTAGAATGCAGT